GGTTGATAGTATCTCTTTAAGCACACCATGGAACTTGTCATTCCCGCTTTATGATAAGTGCCGTCACGGCACTCATTGGCCACGAGCTCGAATTCAAATATTCGTCGACGGATCGATTGTTGTCGACCGCATACGTCCCTGTGACGCAGCGCTCGTGTCCAACGCGGCTTCCTCGCTTGGCTGGGAGAACTTCCGTTTCCGGTAGAAAGGCCTACTTTAGTCACGAACAAGTGGTTTCATAAGTTGGTGGCCGAGTTCGGTTGAGCAGAGGAAAAAAGCAAATTGGAGTTTTTATCGTTTTTTATGCGCAAAACTGGAGGCAATAAAACAGAAACGGATTCCTGCTCCGGGTTCTATGGGCATTATTATGTCCATAGAACATTATGTCTATATCTATGTCTATTTCTATAGAACATAGACAGTATGAACCAATATTTCGGTCACCCCTCGGGTGCGTGTCGCCATCTATTGGTTGAACTAACGCCTTGTTCAAGATGGCTGCCGTGGGACCGCAGCCTTAACGAGCGCTATTTCGCTATATGTCAACCATTTGTGCTTCCTTTACTGATACAGCTTTTGAACATTTTGCTTTGTTCATTCTTTCGTTGCTCAGATAATTAACTATACTTCATCTCTCCTTAGCATGGACTAACTGCAAAGGCTGTGCAAGCGCCAGCTGCTAGCCTTGACTGCCTTGACGGGAGCACTCGCTGCAAGAGCGCTCGAGCAGCCGCCAAGGCTTTATCCAAAGCAAAATATCTCGCGTTTTTAGCATGCGTGGCTAACATTAGTTTATGCTAAGGTGAAACCACGGTTGAAGAAACATTTAGGTGATGACTCTCTGTCCGACACGGCGACCACATTATGTTCGGCGCACCGAGCCCTTTAGATGGCGCGCAAGTATAGGAACCCTTCCAAACGACCGCTTCGGTTGTTTTGACAGCGGTGGTTCCGCCTTCCCTCCCTCACCGCTCCTTGTTGTACCTCACCGCCGCCACGCCGCCACGTAGTCGCCAGAGTCCGCAAATCTGTGTTCCCTTCCGGCTTTTCCTCCTCCTTCTCCAGCTTCTCTATCTTCTTCTTCTTCTTGTGGTAGTGGTTGTTGCTGTTAAGACTCACCTTCGTGCACGATGGTGGCACCTGTAAGCTGTGATTGACACAGCACCAAAGCAAAACACAAGTCTAGCCACTGGCCGCACACCACCACCACACCACCATACGACGAAAAAGGCGAGCACACTACGCCACCGACACCGTGGCCGCCGAGGAGGGACCTCATACCTCAGCGCCCACCGCGGCGGCGCGGAACTTACTACTCCTAGTGCGAGGCAAGCTCCGAACACGATCTGGTCGCTCGTTCCCCGCGGGAAAAGCGGCCAGAGTCATCACCAAAATGTGTTCCTTCCACCGTGGGTGAGACGAAGTATAATCAAACGCTCTCGTTCTTACGTACTGAAACAAAAGAACGTAGCACATTATAATACCTACCTTATGCAAGCTCCATAGCTAGGTTTTTAAAAACAGCGTATAAGAACAGAGTAACAAGTGCGGCCTTGTGGACGTGAACTTAATGAGCACCGCCTATTGGCGACATGGGTGATCGAAAGCGTCGCAGTGGTCGGCCTGCCAGGATTGGGGAATGATGATTTTGACGTCAGTAAAGGATTTCTCATTGATGGAAATAAGAGTAATGTAAGAACTTCAACTTAGACGGTGGTGGCAGTGTTGCTTTGAAAGCGCAATGATTTCAAGTTTCCACTACGCTCATTACAAACACCATTCATCTTGTTATTCGCAAGTTGTGACGTCAGGAGAGGGAGCCATAGGAGCGCGCCACCAAAACATCTCGCCGCCAAAAGGAGGTATTCAATGGACGCCATGTTTGAGGGCGCTTTTTAGAGCGCATGCTCAGAACGAGCTCACATTAATAGGTTGCTATAAGGCCGGCAATCTTGATGGTGTGGAAAGCACGTTGCAAAATAACTGTGGAAGTTCGCTGTCAGCACGCGCTCGGCAGTCGCGCACAAAGCTATGTTCGCCAGTGAATACTCCATATACTGACAGACCTTGCTCACTCTTATCTAGTGTTGTAGGCGTTACCGAAAACAAGTAATGAAATACGCTACTCGTTACTTGCAAACAAAAGGAACGCGCTACCAACCTACGTTACCTCAAAATAAAATAAAAGTGTTACCATCACCGTTACCGATAAAACGTACCGCAGGTTACTTTTGCGTTACTTTTTTAATGATGAATTATGTCGGAATACTCTTTTGATGGCACAGGTATGCATAAGCGCATTATTTCAAGAAACATTATGTTCATACAGAAACTGAACATAATTACTTAATTTTTTTATGGTTTTACCTAAATACTAACGAAAGAAAAACCCAAAGAAAAACGCAAAAAACTAAACAATTTACATGGCTTTGATCCTAAAAACACGAAAAAAGTAAAGTGTCATTTTTAGGTCCCGGGAAGAGGTAACGAGTAATGTAACTACTATGTTACCTGTTACTGTTCTAAAAAAAGTAACGAGTATACGTTACTACGTTAACGAAAAAGTAGCGCAATACCGGCAATGCCTTTGATTTTAACGCATTAAAGTTAACACTGTTCTCATCCATGAGACCACGCTAATCGTACATTGACAGGTACGACAGCAGTTGATATGCTTCCTATTTCACATATATTTTCATAAGGATGGCTAGTTGGGCTAGTTGCTCTTGCATCATGGTGTAATTCGCCAAAATAACCCGGACGAAAACGAAGGGAGAACTGAACAGGACGCGGCGTAACTTTCAACTAAGTGGTTCATTTCAATTACATACTTTTAAAAATATAAAAACAGGCACACTTGGCAGAACACAAAGATATGGTCTAAAAACACTCAAATACCAGCGTCATTGGTTCTTCAGATAGTAGAATTCCTTATTGGACAAGGACAAATAGGGCGCCTTACACAAGAGTTCTCCTGCTGGGACTTAATCAGGACAGCTTCGTGAATTTCTCCGGCCGTTTTTGTTTTGTAATGGCTCATGACACAGGTCTCACCAAAGATGGTGCTGGACTTCCCCGAGTTGGGCCCGTATTCGCAATGGTCACAGTGGACCGCTAGGCTGTCAGACGGGGACTGCCTCATCGCCAACGCATGCTCTTTGACCCTATCATGGCATTTCAGTAAAAGGGGGGGGGGGGGGGTGAGACTATATTGAGGGTTCCGCGTTTTCGGTTTCTATTTTTTCAAAATTCGGCGAACTTTTACCGGTGTTTAATTTAAAATACAATTTACGGTTTTTTTCGGCGGATATTTATGCCCACAAAAGTTTATCGGCTTTTTTCGGTGAATATAAAATAAACACCAACGGACACCGGATCAGATGATCCTTGTACGTAGCTCTGATATTTGTGATCACTCAAAGAATAACGGCGCAGATACATTGAAAAAGAAATGGACACTTCATTTGGCAAATGTGTGCAACTGTAAAAGAAACAAGAAAAAAACAACATAGAAGTCCGAACAAGTCAGATATGAAGCCTCTGCCCAATAAACATGGAACTTCACTTTCTGTACATCAGGATTACGCGATCTCCATTATAGTACACACACATGTACTTGCCAAGGTTCTCCTTAATGCGCACTCTTTCTTTTCTGTTAATATGACCCTGAGCTTCGAGAATGCCCTCTCAACGCTAACAACACTGGACACTGCAAGCTAAGGAGATGAAGCGCTGCCTGAGCAAACACCGGCCAATCAACCAATTGTGACCGCCGAAAAAGGCACGGTGCGACGTTTTAAAGCACAACACAACATGCAGAGCTTGCATCACGTCAGTCTTCCTTACAACGAGCTTGAAAGCACGCTCGTACATGGCAAAGTCATGGCGCACTTCGGACTTCACGTTCCGATCGATGATGCGCACACTAAACCAAAACGTCGTAATTGCATTCGTGTATCCCATACATTCGGGCACGTTTCGATAGACTCTGTCGTTCCACTTTTTCGCCAAGGCTCTGTTGTACGACTGGAAGGTCAAAGTGATCTTTTCCCATTAAAACTGAATTTTAGAAAATGGACTCGACGAATGTTTATCGGTTTTTATCGGTTTAAATCGAAAATGCCGAACCTAAAAACTGACCTTTTTCGGTTAAAACCGAATTTCCAAAAATGAATTCGGCGTACTTTTATCGGTTTTTATCGGTTGAAACCGAAAACTCCGAACCCTAACTATATTTTTGTGTCCTGCCAAGTGTGGCCTGTTTGAATATTTTTAAAAGTATGTCATCGAATAAACAGTTCGGTTGAATGTTACACCGCGTCCTGTCCGGTTCTCCCTTCATTTTCGTCCGTGTTGTTTTGGCGTATTACACCTTATAATATATTTCCATATTCGCGCGATTCTGTTGGCGGGACGAGTAGACTGAGGTGACCGAACAGCAATAATCAATGATAGCTTAAGAAACGCCGAGAGTGGCTTATGGTATTATTTTTCTAGAACAAACAAAAACATACATACATACACGACTCTCTACTCAGATGGGATTGTGCCTGCGCAACAAATTACTCGAAGCCATCAGTTATACACGACCAATCCGTCATCCCCCTAAATTAGGAATTCGACCTCGCTCTCCCATTATTAAAACAGACCTGACTTTGTCCATCTATTTTTTATTATGTGTGCCTCGACTTTTTTGCTTGTTTGTGAAGCTTGTTTGTCCCTGTTTTTATACAACACGACAGCCTCCTTTAGGAGCGGGTTACAGGTACGGTCTTGGCAATGGCATGCCATGTAGGACACTATAGTAACTGAGAGTAAAATGCCAGTCCCTAGAGTGTGACATTTGCTGCTGAGGAGGGGAAGAAATACGAAGGACTTGCATAAAGGTGGAGTTGACTTAAGGCATGCTTCAATGTGACGGTACTAACTCTCGTTGGCCATCCAGCTGTATCAAAAGGTGTAATCTAGTACTCAGTATAAATAACTTAGTCGAACCAACGTAAGAGAGGATTATTTATTTTATTTTTGTATAAAAATATTGACACTCTGTAAAAATACCAGACTGGTTCTTTGTACTTTCGGTTTAGAGGGCGAATGCTATGCGACGCCGCGGTGCCCGTGGATACGCAGCCCGAAAACATCGTCCTCAACTGCGGAGCAGAAACGCAGGGGCACTCAGCACGTGAACAGTTGTAGGGTCACGTGACTTCATAGTAGAGGTAGATCGTATTTCATCCAACGCCTCGCGAGCAATCCGGATGAGTGAATATCCTGTTTCCTCGCTATGGAGCCACAATCTTTCAATAGCGAACGCTTGGTGCGCGTGTGGTCCGTTTCTGTTTCACGGCTGATGGAAAGCTTAGGAAGTTTAAACGTTCTCTTGAGAGACGAAAACATATCCGCTATCAAAAAAAAAAAACTTTATACGATTTGTGCACTCCAACCAAAAATTTTGATTCGTTGATCTCGCTTCGTGATACAGAATGATTCGACCGGAAAAAGGTTCGCAAGAGAAAGACTGGGAAGCTGCCTGTGTGCGAACATAAACAACGTCACGTGTAAGACAAGATTGTGAGACGAAGTCTGAGGTCACTGAGGACTCGTCAGGTTTATCGACGCAAAGTATAGTCGGTTGCATGGCGGATGCAAAAATGGGGGAAAAGTAACTTTAAAAGAAGGAGTGCTAGTTGATGCAGCGCAGCCTTGGGCGACCTTGAACTCCCTCTGGACAAGGTGCTTCTCTAGAGCAGGGACATAAAATATTAGAATTTCGACGAGACTAAGTTTCGCCTTTGCGAACGCCCAGATATTAAAAGACTGTCAAGTTTGACCCCCACAATTAAATAAAAAATATTAATCTGAGAGAGTACGTAGCTCATCAGCAGCATTTAGTGTATTGCAATGACAACGAATGAGTAGTAAACGTGTTGCTTTCTTTTTATAAAACGCCATTCACACGGTTAGCATTTTCATTTCCTTTAACATACGTTCCTTGCCGAGGGTTGAATCAGCCCTCACTCTTGGGTCGCGAGCACATACCACGCCCGGAGGACTGCGAACTGGTTTGCCGCCGACCATGAAGGTCTCTTGGCGAAATTTCCAGGTAGCACTGTTGTTTAAGCCACAATTTTTTTTTTCTGGCAGTTCAGGACACAGAAGACCCGAAGAAACCAAGGTATAACCGAACTCGGTATTATTTTGACTGAGTCGGACTATTTTGGCTCTAAATCGCCAAACAAGAGCGAGAGTTAGGCTTCACTGCCTAGTTATTCGGTTGTCAACTGGCTTCTTCGGGCCTCAGTTTCTTAGGAAATGCTAAATCAAGGCTTCATTTCTGGTTGCTCGGTTTTCACCTGGCAACTTTGGGTCTAAATTTCGAAACAAGTGCAGGAATTAGGTTTCACTGCGGGTTGTTTGGCTGATAGGGAGAATTTCTGGCTCATGCCTACGTCCTTAAAAGAGATTAACCCAGTTGACATGCTACCAAACAGTAGCGTTGACTACCTAGAAATATACTGCATAGAATTAAGCCAATTAACGTCAAGCAAAAACGGACTTACTATCCTGGCAGGACTTCCAATTTGTTTGGTTGTTACTAAGAGTTCAAGTACAGCCATTAAATGTGACGTCTTTGATTGACCTTAACGTTATAAAATCTTCTTGCGTGTTTTCGTGTTTTGTAACTTCGACATGAACTGCGCAACACAGAATTTTCGTTTTTGAGCCATAAATTGCAATACACTGTGAAGCTAAGTAAGAAATATACAGTAAACCCTTCAGTAAATATTATCCGAAATGAAAAGTTTTCACGCCTGTCCACGAAGCCACGCCGACACTCACTTGTAGTCTCAATCTTACGCCCTAGTCTTATCAATAAAAGCGCTCAACTGATAGTGCAATCATGTCATATTACCGCAAAGTTATATATTGGCTAGCAAACGTAATTTGGATCGGTGAGGTAAATTTTCGATATTACACATGTTGTTACATTTTACAGCCAAGTGCGTCGTATTGTGTTTTTCACCGCACTCAAAAAAAAAAAACACTAGGGAATGCAAAGTGTGCATGTGTTACTAAAAAAGTTCTCTTGCATTTCTTTTATTAAAATATCCTATTTGATTAAAAGCACCGTCCGTCTTTCAGTTAATGGCATGGGGATAGAGTCCCAGTTGACCTTATTTAACTTTTCTCAATATGATTGCGACAAAAATATTCAGACATGTGTTTAAACACAATTTTCATAACCGCTAGAAACATAAATTTTATAGGTCTAGATTCCAAACGAATCAGGTATATATAAGGAGGTAGCAAGCCTATGCAGAACTGGTTCCCTAAAAATGTCGTCAAACTTCGAGAGAGTTAAAGAGTTAAACAGTTAAATTTGGCCTCCGTTTCGTCCCCAATTACACAGCCCCAGACCAACCCAAATACCTTTTGGCACGCCTAGTAAAGAACTAGGGTTATTTTAGGAAGTCAAGAAAAATCTAGCACAAATTCTTATGCCTGCGTAGTAGGGCTGTCTGTGTTCTTCAAGAGTAAACTATCGCCGGCAAAACGCCTCGGTCACAATGAACCACCACTAGCGAGCAGCATTCAATTACAAACGCACCACAACTTGCATTCCATTGAAATCATCACACTTGGTACCACCAATATATACAAATGCACCAGACATTTCTCACCTTGTAAAATCATCCCGATGATATGTACACCTCAATACTGCAATCTTCGCTTTGATTTGAGAAGCGTATTCTAGGGGTGGGTATAACAAGCACCAAACCACCACGTCTACCCCATATTTCCCCAACCTCTTTCAATTTTAGAGCGAAAGTAGTAGATTTTTTTAGCCTGATTGATGTCACTTCGATGCACATCGTAGAAAAGATTTTGCGTTCTCGTTTGATATGAATATTTACAACGCTTATCGGAATGTGTAAAGGCAGGAATCTTTGCCACACGTCATATCTTACCTGCCTGGGTGTCTCTTCATAATTTGCATATCAAGGAAATTGATCTGTCTACCTCCATGGCTCTCTCACGTTACTACAAACAATTCCCGGCGATACTTGGCGATGGTGTCACAAAGCGGAACGCAAAACGATGAACACAGCACTCCTCCACTCTTCGCGACGATTGCTTCAGCATTCGTCTAGTCTTGGAGAAAAGGGAACGGCGTGCTTCCTGATTTTCTAGAGTTCCATACCGACGAACGTTCAATTTACGCTGATTGGAGTCATGCCTTGCTGTTGGCATTCAGTTTTGTCATGGGCGTGTCATCCTTGTAGGCACGAACGCGGAACATATTTGTGATCTCTTCGATGCTCTTGTTCTTTGTTTCTGGAAGTTTCTTATAGATGAACACCCAGAAGAACACCAGCACCAGGGTGAAAATGAGGAAGGTGTAATGCTGAACCACCTCCTGCGAAATAAAAGAAAAGGATATGTTTGAGTATTTATTATGTAACACTGTTATATCCCAGTCTGCGCTTTAAAATTGAGTATTTTTCAAGACTAGACAGAATAAAGGTTGCGAGAATTTTTGGTTGAGGTGCTCGAGAATATATTTTTATAATAAACTTTACGTTTTATTTTTTATCTATACTCAAAAATAATACAACTGGAAGATAAGTGTTAGTATGCTAACGGTCCTCCTATTTTTGCAAGGCATACAATGTTTGCACTAAATTACGTCTTTAAATATAAAGAGTCAGTTTTAGCAGGTGTTATGCTTGTGTGATATGCCTCTGCGGTTCTGGCACCCCAGCCAATTTAATAAACTTAACCAATACTTGAAATTAGCATGCTAGTGCAGCACGAAGCTCTTATAGAATCTGTTGATTATTTTGTCTATGCCTATATATGTAAGTATCCTATGTTTATTTGTACTCGGATGTATCTAGCACAATGCAGCTGTTCGAATTTCTACAATACACTAATATGTTAGTATGCCTAAAATAGAAAGAAATCAACTTGCAAAAGCATGCTTCTTTTTTTACTTTCTACCGCAGTGAAACTTGTTTTTTAATTCCAAAGAAAACTGCGCCAACAATAATGAACTTTTCTACACTGCAAATAAAATGACGGTTATCTGGCCTTAACTTTCTCCTCCCGGCTTTAAGCTACCTTGTCGGCACCTTTGCCCCCGGTAGAAAAAGGCCAGATAGAGACGGTTGAGCATTTTCGATGTTAGGTCACTTGTAGACGGGGGAAAGTTAACGCGAAAAACCGGCCTTTTATTTGGAGTGTAAGGCAGGTATGTCTTCAGAATAAGTGACTGCCTCTGCTCAACTCGCACATTCATAAAAATAATCTGCAATGAATAGGACTATGTTATTCGTTATCATTTTTTGCTGAGCCAAATACAACATTACTAGAACAACTCAGTTAGAAAACCCATCCGAGGATCGCAGACCCCTTGCGCCCAGCCGAAATGAGACACCGGAACCCAGATTCGATTACAACGCCGCTTCATGGCAGTCAGTTAGTTTCATTCGTTTAATGGTTAGATGGTGGTAAATAATCCGTTTTGAGACTAGGCGGTTCGCAAAAGCTCACTTTGCAGACACAGGTAAGATTTTATTGTTCTCCGTTCTGGTATATATATAATTCCCTGAGTGGGCTCTGCAATGGAAACGGCGGCGGTGTGAACAAACCTAGTTCGTTTCTAAAGTATGGGTTGGAGCCACTTCTTCAAAGCAGGTTCATATGGCAGTTCCCCAACAGGGTTGTTCTAGTACCGTTGTCCAGGAGTGAACAGGGCTAGGCCTACCATGAGCGGCAGGAAGGCGATGCCGACGACGAAGTTTGCCGCCCAGTTGACGCCAACTGCGAGGCTGCTGGCGATGGGCCTGGCCCCCTGGCCGAACAGCTCCGTCACCAGGAACCACGGGATGGAACCTGCACGCAGTCACCGTGGGAAAAGCTCGCTTAGTGACGTACAAGCAAACAAAGAAATTGTCTCTCCCTACGTGTGCACGGCGAGAAAGTAAAGAAGCTCACTTTTTAGGGGCGCTAAAATCTAACAAACTCATAAGCAAGAGTGACTGAATTCAACTCCAGATTATATATCCTCCAGTTCCATGCTAATTTACTGCTATATTTTATGTTTCCAGAATTAAGGAGATATGTTCAAGGAGGTCTACACTAACATATCAGTCTGATTTGTCTATAATGTTTATCGACAACCTCTTCAAAGCATCGTATTTATCGGAATGTCTGGTACTTCTAGACAACGCTGGTTACGAATACTTTTAAGCCGCAGAAGTGCACAGCGCAGGCCCCATGTGAATGTATAAAGGGTGCTTGAGCTGCCCGGGCTTATTGTTCCGGTTCCATTTGGTAAGACACGAGCAAATTCTTCTTGGACGTTCCTATGGACCCTATAGCCATGCTTACTTTAAGAAATTCAAGGTAATTTAAGCCAGCTTTTCCTGTGTCTAGCCCATGTAGGCCCCATATAACAAGCATCAGGTCACAAGGAAGGCCACTAGCCTCATTCTAGATTGAAACTGCATTGGTAAAATGAAGAAACCCGGTTCATGATTATTCTTAGTCACCTCATACACGAGTGCCCCCCCCCCCCCCCCCCCCCCAAGCTAAGATCATATAAACAATAATTCGCGCATTTAAATTTTCGTTGTTTTTCACATGGGAAACAAAAAAAAAAAACAGACCCACTTTGCTCATTCAATACCAAAATATCCACATCACGATGAAACACGCAAAAAATGAATTCTTAGTGTCCCTGTTTAACCCAAATAAAGCACAAATAACAAAATCGGACGTAGGGCTGTCCCAGCCATGCAGTTATTATAATGTACTGTACGCCAGAGGTTCAACTGGCGCCAGTGTCTATGCGACTTCTGTGACGCAAATCGAAGCGGACAGCAACCAGTCTACTCTTGCAATGCTCCTGTGCATTCCTATGGAAAAACGTGCGTGAATTTTGTCTCTTCGCCGGAAAATAACACGGGGCACTTTGGTTATTTTGGTCGTACCGAACAGTATGTACCTTGATTAACATTGCAAAAATATAATTGCTTTAGTTAGTGCATTATTCTTCATCGGTGAACAATGTTTAACTTCGGCACTTTTCAGTCCCAAACGTGTGTTCCGCTGCAGGTGTGTAAGAACAAGCGACGATTTAAAGCAAAATTACAATCGAAAGGAATATAGAGTGGGTTCAAGGCTCGCCAGCATTCCGGTGACGCTTAAACATTGATAATATGCCAGCCTATCACTATGTGAAAATGACCCCGTCGTGCATGAGCGGATAAAAGCATTCAAAACGCAAAGGATAAAACACATGGGCTATAAAAGGTGTCCCTTTCTATTGTTTTCTTTGCCGTGCAGCTATTATCGGGCACTTGTTCTCAAAGATTTTGAGCGTGCGGGAGATATTTTAAATGTAGAACAAGTATCAGGGGCGCCGGAACAGGGGGTGCAGGGGGAGCAACGGCTGCCCCTTATTTACAAATGAGGTAGCACGGCTCCCCCAATCTACCTCGGTCAAAGTTATTTTTTTTTCCCGCTTATTGATTTTGGTTTTTACAGAGCATTTCGCGCCTGCTGTTTTGTGGCTGCCTCTCCGTTTTTGTTCAGTCAGATTTTCGAGCTATCGCCACAAAAGCCGATCATTTGGGGCCTAGCCCGAAGGATAAGCCTCCGGCGTAAACCTGGCCGTGGAGAAAAAGACCCTGGAAAAATAGCGATTTTGACGTTCGCCGTCTTCAACAGATAAATTGTTGTAAATGACCCTCGTAGGAAGAATTCGTCAAGCTGGCCTCCCGTCGCAAGTACGCGGCCTTCGGGATCTTCAAAAAGCTGGAAGCCGTTTCACTGTCAAAAGAAGTCTTCGGGAGCTTGAATTAACTTAAAATGCCCTTCCAATTCACTAAGTGAGGGGGGAGGGGGGGGGGGGCAGTTGGGTCCAGAGCTTGCGATTGTCGGTAAACTTACTATTTCCGTGAATGACCTTCAGACTGTACATAGATAAAAAAAAAAAAAATAGACACCACTCGACCTGGCCGCCTGCCACAAGTGCGCGACCTTCAGAAGCTTAAAAAATCTCAATGCCTAGGGGAAGTGCCAAGATAATTTGTGAAGAGCGCGTCTTCTGTTTGTTTCGCCTCCAAAGAGTTTCGGGAGCCAGTCTAGCGCCCTTGGGGGCTTCTAGCGTTAGCCGCACTATTCCTGTGAGTGACTTTCTGAACTAGCCGGAAGCATCTCTCGACCTGCCAATCCCCTCTCTCCTGGAAGTGCTACTTCAAAAAGGTCCAGTGCCGCGGTGTCGGCGAATGGAAGAGCTGAGACTAGGAAGCAAGAAGAAGGCGACTAGCTTTCCTTTGGCCGGTAGATGATTCTTCGGAAGCTTGGGGATAAGCCGAAAGGTCTGTGCGACGGGGGATTACTTTAAGGATCCTGACAAGGTCAGGCAGCCTTGCTTGGCTTAGACGGGTTCGAAGCAGCGACGTCCTTTTGTTGGCTGGTGCGGTAGAGGAAGAGGGGGCGGAGCAGAGGAAAAACTAAAATGCTACTGCCAACATCCTTTATAAACAGCATACTGCTGCTGGGGAGTCTGTCCTCTCTGTCATGACGCGACTGTGGAGAAGTAAACATATAGAGCTTCGCCTGTCTCGAATATTTCTGGAGTCTTTTTCAACTATTTAATCCCCTGCCCCAGCTGAACTCTCGCCTCCATATGGCCTCAATTTTTCAAAGTTTTTGAGCAAAGCCCTCATGGTCAACAAGCTCCTCGTTCTGCGACGATCCACGAGCAGCAGTCTCAGCGTTCTCGACACCCCTACTGGTAAGCCCTCAGTTTTATTGTTTGATGTATTTATATTATTAGCAATTTTCTTGATTTTCCCGACAATTTCTGGATGCAAAACAGTAGTACTGGTCACAACGTCAGCTTTTTACACCACAGTAGCAATCATTACTGTAATTTTATAAGAACTAGAGTCCCCATGCACAATATGATAATAATAATAATAATACTTTATTTTCCATTTAAAAAAAATGGCGGAGGCCGAGAAAAAAAAGCCGTGTTTAAACGGCTTGACCAGCCCTCGGCCTCCTCGAAAGTTTGCCACGATGCCCTGAGAATAGATTTTTTTTTTTTTTTGAGCTGGTCGATAATCTGACGACGGAAATTCACAGGAGATTCACGCAGCCTGGACTCGACGAGCTTGTTCGTCTAGAAGGAATTGTGACTGATGCCGCCAAGAGGAAGCCTCCCTCTGCCGCAGTCTTGGAAGAGGAACTGGGGCTCTGCACTTTTGATTTCGACGTCTCCCGGCTTGCGCCGTCACTTGGAAGCAACAAGTGCGACACCATCCAAGATGTTCGTGCATTGCTGAAGGATCAAGCTCCAAACGTGAAACTAATTTTTGAGAACGTTTTCAAACTTGTGCTTCTCATTCTCACGGTCCCCGCGTCGTCGGCATCATCCGAACGCTCCTTCAGTGCCCTGCGACGTATGAAAACTTGCTTTCGAAGCACAATGTCATAGTAGGAAAGGTTGCCTCATCTACTCCTATTGCACGTGCACGGGGCGCTGACGGCCACTTTGAGCTTAGATTCCGTAATTCAAACCTTTGTCGCACGAACCGCGGAAAAGAAGTCCACGTTTGGCACAGCATGACTGTGAAATGTAAAAATGCCTAAGTGTGTTTGTGCGAATTTTGACCAGTTCTAACATCACTCAGGAGGGTATATTTAAACTCTATATTTATTACAAGTTATTGTTATTAGCACCGAGAAGTTTCAGTGGCTTCTTTTGGCGGCCTGCCAGAGTGAGTCAAGGAGACAATATTTCAGCCGAGTGAACTTGCGAACAGTTGGGTATCGGCTGCTGATAACTGAAAAGATCCTTTTTGCTTTATTTTTCGATAGCGTGATTGTATTTTGATTCGTGCGATCATAATCTCACGAGAAAAATCTCTGTTCTCCTCATGACGTCACGGTGGAAACTGTAGCGACGCTTCTGTTCGTTTTTACGGCCAATATTGTTCGTTTATTTTTCTTTGTTTATAAAGTATGCACAAGATATGTAAATTATGTTTATAATTGCGTTGACATCATTTTCTCGCTGACGATGTAAAGGCACATTACTATTGCAATGTTACTTTAGGTATACGATACAAATATGCGCATGTTGTAATTTTTCCTGGAGCACGTTTACAACATTTGCTTGTTTGTTCCTCTCAGCTGACGGTATCTCACGCCGAATCTTTTTTTATGTTTCATAATATCCTATTGTATGTCTGGAGTTCATATTATGTGATTAGTGAAAATCTGTGGTACTGCTGACCAACCTTCCTTTTTTCTATCTACATATATACCGGGACACGTGGGCTGGCTTGTGTGTACGTGTGTAGCTTTTATAATTTTGGTGTGGCTTCCAAGGCTGCCTCAGCGACAGGGCTACCGTGTCATCGATTTATAGATTTCTCAATGTTACCTCTGTTACGTTTAACTCGACCACTAGTTCTTCCTGAAATTCCTTTCCTAGGTTTTCAAAGCAACTGGGACTGCTTTGAATTAGAGTTAACTTGCGCCGTCAATACGCATGTATCTTTCATATATCGCATGTATTGCCCTATTCCTTCTAAATAAAGACTCCTCTCTGGTATTTGGTTTCTCCATAATTACGTTAATCATTTATGAACACGGGAGAAACGTTGTCGTGTCAAATAATGCATGTACATAAACAGTCAGTGTGGTCAAATAGAATATCGGTAACAAAAACTTGAGAAAACGTCACACAAAGGATACATTTTTGGTTCTAGCTTTTTAATTATCTGTCACAGTTAGTGCGCTCACTTGTAGCGTGTTTATATCATGGTCTTATGACGGTGTGTCAACTGTGTTTATTAATTCATGTAATCATATGCACGACCCCAGTATAGTGCCTGAATGAGCCCTCAAAGAAAATAAATGATGATGATCTTTATGGTAGTATTTTTTTTTTTTTGCTCCCCCAGGGGAAAAATAGTTCTGACGCCACTGACAAGTATCTTCGCACAGAGCAGAAAGAATAAAACGGTACTTATTTAAAATCGGAATATATTACGTCGCCTTCAGTTCATTTTGATTGTACATGCACGGGTAGTTACTGATTCAGTGTAACTGCGTAGTTCTTGCCGTCTCCCTTAATTTCCAGATGTCCTTCGTTCGTTTGGGACGTATATCCCTCATGCTGAAAAGCACCAACGTCGTGTTCACGCTTACAGTGTCCGACAGTGCACATAAATACACGTACGAAACGTGTTTGCACCGTTTTTATTGCAATGAATTTCAAAGAAAAACGCCGTAACTGACCAATTACTTTGTCAGCCTTACTGAGAAATGTTCCAAGCTAGCTAGTACGTACGAATTATTCGGGATAATTGCTCTTATGATCGAGCACACGGAGATGATGCACTCACATTTTCCCATAGAAATGCATCACCGGAAGTCAATTTTCGACTGGTTGCTGTCTGCTTCAATTGACGTCAGCACACTAGCGCCACTTGAACCTCTAGCGTACATTATAATAACTCTATGGTCCCAACAACGCAAAAAGTTTGACATCATTGATTCTTGCCACTAACCTTTCAGACTGGCGAATGACGTATAATTAAAACTTTTGTGACATATTTTATATCTCTGCTTTTTCTTCGAATAATATTACAAGCTCCGGGAGTTTTGATCTGACCTTGACAAAGCAATCTAATAACATAAAAGTGTGCGTTGCGACCTAAGGTGTGAGAAGCTCGCTTATGGTAAGGATAAATAGCAATATATCCGTTCTGGCCATAAGCAGCCAGTTAGTAATTCAGACATTAACAATGTACTATTTCTAGCATACTTGGTATAGCGTATACAGAGTGTAGGATCATTACACAGTTAAAATGGAGCCGAATTGAGGGCTGCTTATAACCCGAACTTCGATTAAATTTTTCTTGCCTGTAAGCGACATCACAGAGGGCCCGATATTTAGTGTGTATTCCCCATCAAAAACGTGGAGTGATACGCTACTCAAGACCCACGCGCGTAAGCATGCCGTATCAAAATGCTTTGCTTGGTGTAACATGCGTTCAGCGAAAGTACTTCATAAATAAACACATGCGCCCGTGCCTCTCACAACAATGCGCACAACCCATTAATTTCAGCTCAGTTCTAATCAGGAGTCTGACTGTCGCCATCCTGAATGTTCCCATTTCGTGCCTGCATGTGTGGAAGATTTTTCACGCCTTAAGCCTAGTTCACATGCAGCGGTTTTGGCCCTAGAGCGGCGCGATTTCTGCCGTCGCGGCGCTCTGGCCAGCACCAGCAATTCTGCGGCACGAGCGCCGCGACGGCAGAAATCGCGCCGCTTTAGGGCCAAAATCGCTGCATGTGAAACAGGCTTTACAGATATTTTGGAAACATTACAAGCTTTACAGATTCCCGCGTCCCTATCATTTACGAACAAGTGGCAAGAAGCTAGATATTCGAACCATGCAACGGACTTTTTTTTAATCAATTAAGCTACTGCGTGTTCACCAGTCGAGCTGGTGCTTATTTGTAAAACGGAGCGGCGTAGACTTTCCATTTTCCCGGTGGGGGTAGGCTGAGAGGTTCTCCGGGCGGGGGTGCTTTTCCGCGCAATGTTTCTTACACCGGTAATTAACAGTAGTTTATTTAGGGGTACATTTTACAGCGTATGAATATCGCCATGTGTCCGTCGCTGTGTGCGTTATTTTGTGTACATGCCGCTACTAAAAGCTCGTTACATGGCACGGAAACAGCGTCTCAGTAACGATTATAGCCCGACGTGGGGGGGAGGGGGGCCCAACCCCCCGCCCCGGATCTCACCAAGGGGGGGGGGGGGGGCACGAGCCCCGATGCCCCCCCCCCCCCCCCCCGCCCGTAGTCTACGCCTATGGTAAGACACGCATATATATATATAGCTTATACCAAGGATCACTTACCCGGTCCTATGGCAAACGTGATGACAAAGGCTAAGAGTCCACCGATGCTGACGTAGGACACCCACACCGCGTGGTCCTGCAAGATTAGAAAAGGCTGGCGTAAATAGAGAGCCCTTGGTAAAAAAAACAGCCATAAAATTACCGTTTTGTTCCTCACTGTGTGACGCTCTTTATGCTTCATTTGATACACTTACCAGTAACTAGGTTTAGTTTGTCTCTTGTAAAAGTAATACCCAATACCCTGAGTGAAAAATTCGGCAGAGACACTTAAGACTGTTTACGTGTTGGAATGCGAAAGCATAAAGCACGCACTAGGCACAGCTTTAGTCAGCCGGAACCGCGGAGCCGCCGTGGCGTCGGGGAAGAGTGCTCGTCTTGCACCCAGGAGGCACAGGTTCGGTTGCCCCCCAGACCGAAATGTGCGAAATTTCATTTTCAATTTCATTCATATAATTTGTTTACAGGAACCTCCCTGAGAAATTTGACGTCAATACGAGTATTTTGACATGTTTTTATTCTTTGCGCTGCGCTGCCATCAGTTCGGCAGGCTTCTTAGCAACGATGACGCCGTTGCTATGAAGCCACATGACGCGTCGCAGCCAATGGGAATTGAGGTATTCGTGCACTTACACGCGTAACATCGCAAGAAAAAAAAAAAAAAACTTTCAATTATATTTATGTGAACAATAACGCCGCTCCAGGCGACAAGCTTAAAAAAAAAATGACGCTGATTATTTTTTTATAATTTTCGCAGGTTCATAACTTCATACCTTGAATTAAGTTTACGTTTCGTTAATTCCATGTAAACCATTTGGACCGAAAAGTACTACACTGTTAATTCAACGTTAAAATGGAAGGTCAGCAAGCTCTCGTCCAGCGGGCAAGAAGAAGTCTTCAGAGGTGAAAAAAAATAACCCCTTAAAGCACTTGTTTACATTTCTCACAGACGATTTCACACGTTTCTCGAAACAAGCTCAATCAAATATCGCAATAAAAATTACAAATAAAAAGAACATCTCTAATCATTTTCGGAAGGTGGTAATCTTCATTAAAAACAAGTATACTATTATGCGTATCCATGTTTGCATCGATGGCTGCTATTAAAGTATGAGGTGTTCGTCAGGAAGAGTACAGAGTCGAAAGCTTGGCGTAAAAAACAAAGAAAACAGCGATGAAACAGCGCGACGCTTTTATGGTGTTGTCACGGATGAGAGACGTATTGAAAATCGACAAATTGACCACGCATACATTCAGGCTGCACTACGTGGAACGAAGTTGTTGAAATTCAGTGCCTTCTCGTTGAGCAGGGCCTATGACCTTGAAATCAACTGCCTTGTGTATAATGTTGTATCAGGGCGGGATGACGTCCCGCGAGAGCGCATCAGCAGCCGCGTTGTCTTTGCCTTTGATGTTTCCGATATCTGCGGCAAACTCAGATATGTATGACATCTGACGGACTTCGGGAGAAGCGAATTTGTCACCTGACTTGAAACCGTAAATTAGAGTCTTAGGACCGATAAGTACAAGAAACTCTGACCATACCGAAAATTACGAAAATGTTCGACGACCTGGTTGGTCGCTAAGGGCACTCTACCGAACGTGCTGTGGCGGAACTTGGCTTGTGTCAGCGCACAGGAGTAGAGGGTGATGAGCTGCCACATGTTGGGAGGCAGTCGCTGCAGGGATGCGCCAACAGCCACGTTAGAGGCGTCTACCATGACGCTGACAGGCAGATTATGGTGGAGATGAACGAGCAGAGTAGTGTAGATGAGATGCACCTATAAGCTGCTGAAAGAGTGACTGGCCGGTACACATTCCAAGAAATTAACACCTTTGACACATCAGTCAGAGGTCACATGCTTTGATGCGCAGTTGGATATGAAAAAACGATAAAAAGTTAGGAGGTCCAGAAACTCCCTGAGCTCAAGGTAATTCTTGGATGTGACAAAAGTTGCAATTGATATGAATTTTGTGAAAAACTGATTTGAAACCGCAGTTTGGATTCCCTGCTGAGCGCGCGCCGCCGCCGCCACAGAGTTTATAAGAAAACAAAAAGTTATGTTTGTCGAGCCGGGTTCAGACCAGCAACCCTATCGATAAATAGTCCACCTATTCATGGAATGAGCTAGTGCCACTAAATAAGCTACGCTTCAGAGTAACGACACTTACCCATGTTTTAGCTTTAAATCGTAGTTGCCAGTTATCTAAAGCTTTATCTGAAATCACAGGAAGTGTTTTTTTTTTTTAAATCCTGCACAATAGTTTAAACCGTTCGCGACATAGAAAAGCAATAATATATGGGCCTCTGGACATCGAATATAATGCTTAGGAAGTCGCACTTTTGAATCATGACAATCGGCAGTTGCGTTCGCTCTGCACAAGCATCAAGACGGCGGCACCCACAACAATATCAGGGAACAGAGTGCTGATGCTCTAACGTAGCTCATTTAGTAGTTCGAGAAAGAGCTATCGCCAGGACAAATTTCTGTGAATTAAATGGGGTGTTCATTCCATTTCCTTTTACCTTCGATAACGCTTGGGCGACTTGTGGGACTCGAGAGTGAACGCGACGCAGGAGCACGGCGAAAGCCAGCAAGTGCGTGCCGGAGGCGAGGCGTTCGAAGGAAAGGCTGCAGGCGACACATCGTTGTGCCGGCCCAAGCACACGACCATCCTAGCAGACGAACTTGCATCCTCTATGACTGGACCTCAGAAAGTCCGTTGCGGGTTCGAAGAACGCGAATTTCAGTTACGGCGCGCCGAGGAGGCTCGCCGTAAAAATACGGATGAGACACGGGAGCGAAATCAAGAGCGGAAGCGTAAATGGGCTGAAAATTCTCAGAGTCCTGTTGAAGAGCCGGCGCGGAGATAACAAGGGCACCACAATGTTAACTAATACGAGAGCGCCGAATTGCTGTCGCCGTGAATCACGTTACGCGGTAGCGTAAATAAACTCAAATTTTTGGGATGGTGCGTGTAACTTGGCCTCCGAAGCTTATATATATACTGGGGACCCCAAAATATCTAACGCCATAAAAAAAGCACCCCGGAAACTATAAAAAAAAAAGGATCGCAGACCGTATGGAAATGTTTGTCCTGTTCGCTTTGTCCCTGGTTTTTATGGCGTCCGGGACCGGGATCGTTTACACTTTCCTGGCTGGTAGTAAAAGTTTCGTCCCACTATACTTCTGTCGGGAATAAAGCAACGGGATTTAGAGCTACGCCTGTTATGCTCAAGAAAAAAGTACGAGAAGCCAAGATGCTCTGAAGACGTTATCGCTTCATTAAAAGGGCCATGAAATGAATTTTCGGCTAGGATAAATCGGTATTTTACTAATTGAATTTCATTTAAAGCTCCAAGATAAAGCTAGTACACGAACGTAGAAAGCCTAAAGCCTGCTTTTCGCTAGGAAAATTCGAAAATATAGCCGACTATTTTATACCTCTTTTCCTTTAAAAGCTCTCCGCCTTTTCACTGTGATGCATCCGCAGTGCCCAAGCACATAAGCCGAACACAGCTCACGCATTTCACACGAGCACTGCGTCACTCGGGCGTATGCGCTAGTCAGCAATCAATCCGTCGACGAATATTTCAATTCCCATTTGTAGACAATGAGAGCCGTGACGACAATCATCATCACTTGAAATTGGCAAGTTTCATCGTGTGCATAAAAAGCACGGTGGAAGCTTGGAGTCATCACCTCTGGTCGTCACGACCACGTAATTTTTTATTTCATCTTTGAGTTGAGAAATAAATCCTAGGAGGAAGAAGTTGAAAAATCATTTTGTGGTCCTTTTAACGTTAAGCGAAGGCGCAAATTAATTAAACCTTTACTTCTGTAGCAATGATCAGCTCCGAACTCCAAGCGAAACAAATATGGCTTCTGGGTTCAACAAAAATCATGATTACTCTAAACTAAACATTTAATTATTAATTTCATATGAATATTCCATTTGCAATTTAGGAAACATCTCTGGTCTCAAACGTATTATTTTACATTATTTTTTTAATGATGCAGGCACGTACTACGGAGCGATAAAGTCCGAAGGTTTCTAACGTGTTAAGAGTTGACAATAAAAACCCATACATTCTCCACCTTTTTAGTTCTCCAAATGCGTGTTCCATACTTTGATTAATGTTAACACTGCTGGAATCTTTCTGCCATCAATTAATATAAACTAGGTGTCTGCAGTTGAATAAACTGAACTGGTAAATATAATTACAACATGGTGGCGCCTGCCATGCATACGCTTTTGATTATCATGTGATGCTTCGTGAAAATACGAAAATCTTAATCTATGCAAAGCTGTACTGTAATCTTTGTCTTTGATACATAAAACGATGAAAAAAACGTTGGAGCCATAAGATTATTCGAGTATGCATACAAAACGACCGGGTTTTGTAGATTCGGGGTTTTCACGTACTGGTAATCATAAAAAAGGGGGCGACCACGTAGTCATGTAATATATTGCAATCATGTAAATAAGTATATTTATGAGGGAGGCCAGAGAGCACACAATTGAATCTGTTTACGTGATTGGTATGTTTTACTAGGCAAGCAAGTTATAACCAACTTTTTCGCATGATTAGATGCCTTTGTTTATGTCTTTCTTGTGATGAGAGAGAAGATACCCAAATTTGCAAAATAAAATCAGGGTGCACAGCACTCGCACTCTAAAAAATCTGGTCGTAAAAGAACTCTTAAGCGTTCTTCGGTTTATCCATATTTTGCAGTCTAAAAGTTATTTTAAGCATACTCTAAAAGGGTTCTTCGTGAAAAACCTATTAGGGGTACTCCTAAGCTCCTTTCTTTATGCGAAAGAGTTCTTCATCATCCAGCTATTTTCCTAATGCGCCAGGGGGCGATAATGCTTGAGGTGAAATCGTTTTTCACGAGCTGAATGAGGTCCTGGGTGTCCAAGAACCTTTCAACAACGTTACTGTTGTTGTAATGCAGATTGCAAGCTAAAAATGAAAAAAAAAACAGCTCAAAATTTGCGAAGTCAGGAAAACCTTTCTTATCAATTAACAACTCTTACCAACATGCACGCCTAACTTGCTGATGTGCCATCCAATGAAACAACTTCACTATAATTTGTAACAGCAGTGAGAAAGACTCGTTTGTTGAAAAGTGCAGCACACACACACACACACACACATACACAAAATAGGTGAATGAAAAGGTTAAATAAATGCATGATGAGTCAAGTAATGCATGACGAGATTCATGTAATGCGAGCTCGGGCACGACAGAGCTGGGGCACGGCAAAACAAATGATAGACGGATTAAACGTTCGTAAAGAACGGTCAGGGAATGAACCCGTAGGCTGTCTTTTTTTTTCTGTAAGTATCATGTTTAGCAACCGAAAGAAAAGAACCTTAGAAATTTATGGTAATAAAAACTCGAGACTCAGGAACACAGAAGGGGACGAACACAACACGTTCGTCCCCTTTTGTGTTCCTGAGCTTCGGGTTTTTATTACCATGAATCACCGCCAGCTCGCTTGTTTTTTAAGTATTGTTGCAAACTTAGTAAGTTTTGCTTAGGCGTTCATTGATGCCTAAATGTTCCGACGATCGCCATCAGTGTAGGTGAAATGCTATTGCATTTAAAATCAAACCTAATACAGAATCAATTTATAGCATTTGAACTACGTTGTATTCTGTCGTGCAAACTGCCAATGAACTCAAACTGCTTCCCAGTTTTCGAAAAATAAAACGACTGAGAAACCAGTCGATTTCTGCATTTCGACGCCAAACTTGAGGTGCGACGAAAATCGCGACATCTTTACATTACGATTGCAATACAGCCTATGGGATCGTAGAATAAAACATACGGTCGTGTAAAAGAGAATAGAAGAACAGGCTTATGTTATTGGACCCAGTCCGCCTCCATCCTTTACCATGAGGATTTTCTCCTAACACAAGCCAATCCAACCAACGAATATCTAATTTGGTAGCTCTAGAACAGTCCACACGTTGGTTACTACATCGCACAATGCCCGGTCATTGTTTGGCAAACGTTCTGGCAACTCGAACATTGGAACTTTTTCGACGGACGAGTAAAAACAATGTTTTTACTCGTCCGTCGAAACGACGCCCATTGAGCTGTTTTTTATGTCGGCCGCCAAGCGGGCACGCGGCATCTGCCTGGTCCTTAACTGGCCCAAGGAAGATGGCATTCATAGGATAGAGGACCATTTCAGGCGTAGGGCTCACCACTTTTACCAGGCATCGGCTGATAAAAAAAACAGCTCACTCACGAAGAAATTGCCAAATCTATGGTTGTTCTTCCGGCGTTACTTGCGGAAACCTTTGGTTGTGGCTTACCTTGAAGGCGAGGGTGACCGTTAGCACGACGGTGGACAGCGCCATGCCGGCCATGCCGGCGAGCAGCAGCGTTCGCCTTCCCGCGCGCTCGACCACCACCATGGAAACAAGTGTCATGAGGACGTTGACAACGCCCATGCCCAGGGTTGCCTGCATGGCGCCCTCGGCGTCCAAGCCGGCCGTCATGAAGATGTCTGTCGAGAAAAAGATGGCCTGCCGAAAAAAACACGACAAAAAAAAGAAGTTATTAGGGTCGTATCAGATAGTCCTACCTCGATTTTCTAAGAGCTTGCTCGAGTCTATACTCTGTTTCATACTTAGCGTGCAACGCTGTCAAAGCTACTGGTGCGAGCGTGTGGCTTCATCTATGGTTTTATTTGCGCGAAAACGCGTGCAAATGATCAACGAGATCAAGCTCCACGCTCGCGCCAGTAGGTTTGACAGCGTTGCACGCTAAGTATGAAACAGAGTATAAAGAATGCCACCTAGTCTAAGCAATACCACTTGTTGGAGCTTTTTCCCTTTTGCTCCACCATTTCTTTAACTGGAAATAAAGATCATTATTTTACTATTAATTTAACACGACACTTGCGTATGACGTTTTCCTCAATGAATCCCCGACCCGCCTCAAGCGGCAAAAACGCCGAAGCTGCACTAGAGACGCCACAATGCAGCAGACGCGTTCGCCTGACGTCGCCGCTTGTTAGCGCCGAGCCTGTTGTGAAGCACTGCAAGATGCGCTAACGGCAACGCTGACGCCATCTAGGCGGCACTGGGTGGATCCACTAGTGATGACGTTTGACGGCGGAAGGCGCAAGATTTGTCTTCTAGGTTGTATTGGCAGGAATGGCCCATACTGAAGCTGCGCGAACACAATATATATATATGTTACAGACATTGATCGTTTTTTTTTTCTCTTAAGAAAAAATACGCAACTAACCTCCGACCAATCGTCGAGTTCATTATTTTCACGGCCTCCGCAGTATTTCTATTAAAGAGGAAATGTTTTTAGTCAAAGGAAAAGAACGTCAGGGATGCCTTTCAGTTAGGTTTGCCTCTAGCGCCAGAAGTTCTTTAATACTTTTGCGTTTTGTGAACTTCGAGAGTGCAACCGATGCACGACAGAAAACAACGAGCGCGTGTTGGAGTATGAATATTAAAGAGAGAGAACCCTGCGATTCTCCTCCCAGCTTGTGCCGGTGCCAATAAATTAAGAATTACACGTGCTATTTTAGTTTTACGATTGTCAAAGTGGCTCTTCAGCCACAAGCTCTGATGTTTCATTTGTCATACACAATAGAGCCCTTAAAAAATGACGTACTCTTAAGGTCGATCTAAAAATACTGCGAAGTGGCGTGAGCAAAGAACACCAAGATGGAAAACTAATAACCGATACAATATTCATTTCCAAGAGACTGTATGCAATGAATAGACTTGTCATTTTCAGGGTGTTTTTTTTTTTTTTCTGTGCACGCCACTTTGCGGTATTTTTAAATCGGCAGTAAGAGGGCGTAATTTTTGAAGGGGTATATGACAATGCTTGTGACATCTGAGTTTTGTCACAAAAAATGACAAGAAAAACAGTGAATATTTCATCGAACCGTATTTAGAGGTCAAGCATTCTGCAAATATAAAAAATGTCAAGATTTTTGCAAACCTCAGCTGATGTATTGGCGAATCAAATATTTCTTCGCTGCAAAATCTCATCAAACAAGTTGCTTGTAGAGCTATCCTAGGCTTAATTCACACGTTAAAAAGCGGGGGGGGGGGGGGGACACTCGGCAAAGCGTTGCGCTCGCGTCCGTAACGCTGAAAACGATGCATGGAAATCTTGGATAAGGATAGAACAACGTTGGAAGCATATTTCTGAAGCACGAACGACAAATACCAATATATCCTCAAAAGGATCGGAGGTATCAGAACCTTTTCAAATAGTTTCTGCTGGAACCTAAAAAAATATCGTCTCTATTCTGCATACAATATATGATTTATTCGCAATTTTGATAGATCTTAAATATTGAAAACAGTCTTATCGGGATCTCCACGGCGTATTGTTAAGCGCAACGAAAGAAACATTTTTAGCTGAATATGAAAACTCCCTAATAAAGAAAATATTCTAAAAAGATGGCTTTTTAGAGGTGCAATCAGGTGATCCCATAAAACCGAGTTGTTTTGGGAACTGTGTGCGCTCGGTGTTCTATGTAACTACGTACAATGCTGTCAAAGTTGCCTACGAGAGCGCGGGGTTTGATCTAGCAATTAAAATGAGAAGCTAAGTGAAACCACATGCTCATTCCAGTATATAATTTTTGAAAACGTGTGCACTCTGTGTTCTATATAACGACATCACGTGCAACGCTGTCGAAGCTGCTTGAGAGGTCGCGGTGCTTGATCTAGCAATAAAAATGAGAACCTAAATGAAACCACGCGCTCACTCTAGTATATATATTTTAATGCACTGCATCAAAATTTGTTCATTTTATGTAACCCAAACACATAAGCACTAGAAAACATTTCCTCCAGAATTGCATACAGCACTTCGTTCATACCACTATACGTTCTCGCATAAAAATGCCACAAGAGGCCTCTGGTCGAACTGCATCGTCTGCGGTACTTTACTGTATGGGACCTTTCCTTAGGCGCCAGTGAAAATAGCCTCTTTTTTCTTTTGGTTCCTTGTTTATTTCGAATGTTCATGTCGTCAACGCCAGTGCAGCAGATGCCGACTTAAGATCAGAGCCGCCCCCGCAACCAACTAAATGATTTTTTTCTTCTTTTTTTTTCTTTGAGGGGGGGCGTCATGGTTTGTGGGCGCTTTAATTGTCGGACAAAAAGTCTTTAGTTGGGATTTTCTGGGGGGAGCGACCCGGCACTGGATTCAGAAAGTTCACTTTCACAGATTACATGGAGTGCACGAGTTCTCGAGAAGAAATCCCTCCGGAATTACCTTGACGGACAAGGAAAGTACGAAAATTGAGTGGGACTTTGCGCAGGTCACAAGTTTCGCCTTCTGCGGTCCACCGCATTACCTCTGCGGTTGGCAACAATTAGTTTATTTGGAAGGCTTATGTGATATTTGACGTACCCACACGTGTAGTAGAAGTTTGGGTTCCCAGGCGTTTAGTGGAACTGTAAAGATTTCTGATTCGTAGACAGCCCTTAGTGACATTGGTATCTCTGCATTGGGATATTTCTCTAAGCTTTGCCAGTTAGTCCTACAAACATCAATTCCTCCGAGACGTATATCTTCACTGTGGCATAATCTCCAAAACAATTTTACGTAAGACGGGCCGACCCTCTTCTTATTAACTAAATGCGAATTTCTGCAAAGTCTTTAATAACAGGCATCGAAGTTATTTCTCGCGAATGAGAAGCGTGTAAAAAGAAATCGAATTAACTGAACAGCTGGGCGAGTGATGTCTAACATTCAGGTGTATTGACTAAGTATTAAAGTGGGCCTACAATCTCCAACCTGATTTTGGCAGCCATAATAAAGAAAGTTAACACACTTGGCATAGCAGCTACACAGAACAAAAATGGGCATTACTATTTTAGCAAAACGAGAATCCTGTCTCTCGTTCGGATTCATTATCGTTCTGCCGCAATTTTCTTTAACGGTTTTGGCGTTTAGTAAGATGTCATAATTTTAAACAAATAAACACAGTTGCTTGAATGCAAACGATGAACCATGTAATGAGGTGGTAACTACTGCGCGCAAGTTTGGCTTTCGGACACATGCCACATACCGATTGCGCCGCATGTCAGAGATATCACGCGTTGCCTAGTGTTTTGCAGCTCTACGTACCGCGTTGATGCCTGAGAGCTGCTGCGCCAGCATCACCATGAGTGATATGATGAGCGGGGCACGAAGAGCCAGGTTGCGCAGCATCTCCTGAAGCGTCACCTGATAGAAAGCGGGACAGAATGGTGGAAGTGATGCATTTAGGGGGCTTTTATTAGGGCATTTTAGCAAAGGTGTACCCCTGGCTACCGCAGCTATATTACGGCTCCTGAAGCGTGCTGAAGAGAATGCTTCGAAGCGCCAACGCCGGCAACAGTGCCACTCCCTACAGGTAACACTAGACTATAACTGCCTATTAAACCTTTTCCACCCCATAGGAGGTTTTTTTTTTTTTTGCAACGTGCCAGCCCGTTACACGTGTCGGTTATGTCTGGCCCCCATCAAGAGCGTGCAGACATGTTTAAATAATTTTAATTAATGTTTTGCAGTAATACAGAAAACAGGTGATCGACTGCTAGGAATAAGAGTGTTCCAAGATTGAATCGCACAACTGCGATTCAAGCCAGCAGTTAAACATAAGACAGATTTGGAGTTCCCGTTGTGATACAACTTCAACTTCTAAATTTTTGTGAAGGCCAATTTTATTAATGAACAGATATGGAATCGCGCCGTCACCCCTATTCAAAGAGCATAAAATACTCGCCATGTTTGTTTACTCGAATTTTTCATCACTATACAAATTAATTAAGGTAGATCTGAAAGCCGTACATAGAAGTGCGGAAAAATAAATCATGGTAACTTAAGCACGATATATACCAAGATTAAACGTTTGACGTAAATCACATGGCAAGGTTCAAAAAATCTGTACGTTTTTTTAAAAAAAATCTAAAATAGATCAGGTGTAGTTTATTCAAATCAGATTTATTTTATATAAATCAGATAAATAGGATTTAAACCGCTGAAGCTAGAGAAAAAATATTATTTATTGCTATATTCGGGGACAACTTTTCTTGGGCAAGGTACCCGTTCTCTCACCCTATTCGAGCTCTGGCTAAGGCTGTGCGCGCGCGCTCCTCCTCTCCTCGGAAATGCCAAGAAAACTTGTCCCCGAGAATAGATGTATTTCAAAGCATGAAAGATTGGTTGATAAATCTGTCCCACCATTGAACACAATGAGAAAGAAAGAATTATTGCAAATTTATACTTTTTATATACAGCTTACTTCCTCACGTGTCATTACTGTACGTTATAAACCCCGACATAAAAGCTCACGTTGACTTTTTTTAGTTAGTGAAAAAGCTTTATTGACTTTGTTTTCGCGTACTAATTTGATTGTGCAATGATCTTACTTTTAATTTTTGTTTCCACATTCTGACTTTCTTGTATCGGAACGTTGCATAACTGACGAATCAAATGGAAGGTAGAAAGGAAGCTCCCTGGGATTTGTTCAGAAGAGCGACACTTTTTTGTTCTCGTTCAGTATGCTGTAGATCTTTCTTGATCGATGATTGTTTGATTTAAATAGAAAACAAAACCCGATAGAGAGCATCAAATAATAGACAAATGGTAAATACAAATTTATTTTCGGGTTTACTCTGCTGGAAAGATTGCATTTAAATTATCATAGTAAAACCGACGTCTTAAACCAGAATATAAATCATTATTTAAATTACGATTTAAATCATGTTTATTTTTCCTTCCCGTTTTACATCAAACCATTGGTGTAGAAAGAAATCACGAAGCAGATTTCATACTGAGATACTTTAAGTAAATGATGCGTTCGTCTTAATTATCGTTACACACCTTTGATTAAAACCTTTACTTAAGAAATGCACAATAATACTCAAGTAAGAAAGTTAGTTTTGGGGGGGGGGGGGGGGGGGGAGGGCTAAGATAAAAGCAAATCGGACTTGAGAGCTTCCTGTTTCACTTCGCTTTTTGCTCTGCGTAGCTCAACATCATCGAGAGCTGCGACATCAGTACTGCAGTTCAAACGCTGATAAAAGAGCAGTGTGTTACTCTAACCTACTTTCCAGTATTATAAACAGGTAAAATACACCGGCGACCTCCGCCTCTTTAAAGCAGTAACCTCATTAGTTTGTTATATTCTAGTGTTCGATTGGCGCGCAATGTAGGGTAGTATCCTTTTGACTGGCCGGCATCGGGCATTGACCTATTCTGGCTTCCTTGAGAGGCCGCATTCGAACATGAGAGTGCGCTACTGACTGTAAACGTTTGTGAGACACCTTTTATATCCAGGCTTAGGTAAGGTGGATGCTGTTTTATAAGATATTCAGCCTTTTTCTTACGTGGCTTATGTATTGGTGTCTCAATGAATTAAGCCAATTAACGTGTTCACTAATATTTAAAAAAAAAAATCACGCTGCCCAAGTTTTTAAAAAAAAAGGTACTGAGAAGTGCAGTATATCACAAGAACTGTTGCGATTACTTGTACTTTAGGGCACAAGTAAGTGTAGCAGAAATTAATTTTCCTATACATTTTTTTTACACACCTAATTGCATCGAAACTGCTTTTAATGGTTCTGCAACGTTTAAGAGAAAGCTGGAGACACACCTATAATAAGTAAACTTTTATTTAAATTTTATATTTGTTGAATAAATCTGACAAAAAGGTAAGCGTTAATTTTGTGTACTTTCAATAAGATTCTTCTTTTTTTTTTAAACCTAGCACATGTACATATTGCTTGGTCCCGTATTGCCAAATGCAAAAAAGAGTGAAACCTCTCAAAAGCAACCATGATTATAAGTTTCCATTTCGTAAATTATATTTACTAGAATTTTTTTTGCCTGACATAATTTAAATTCAAATGCCCATAGAATTCAACTCTATACTCAGTAGAGCATGATATGATTCAGCTTGGGTCAGCTAAGAAAATGTTCAACGCAAGGACTTTATTTCACGCGTTATAATGATGTTGTGTACGAGCATCATGTATACAATATGGAGAGGGTCTCGTAACCTCACCTTGGGAACAAACTCCGCTGCCTCGGCCTCGCTCTTCATGACGTCCATCTCGAAGAGCACATCCCGCGTGCCACGTAGACGTATCAACGCTATACAACATGCGAGGAAGCAAACAAATCCGTCACAAACAGTCGGGTACATTTTTTATACACGAAACCCAAGTTATTAACTGTTTCTCACTGATAGGCGCAACTTTTCTCTGTGTCACGACTGCATCCGCGTCGTGAAGTGGCATACGCAATGACCAACGAACAATTTTAAATAGGACGTCTTGTGCAGAAGCTGAGTTTCTGCAGCTTTTTCTCCTGCCTCCATCGCCCATTCTGTGTTATGGGAGTAAATAAAATGACTTGAATTGAATTGAATTGAATTGAATTGAAAATGTGATGAACCCCGATCGAGTCTGAAAATTCGTGTTGTCCTGTCCCTCTATTTCCCCACTATTCTGGGATAAGAATGTCGAGTCTGAGCCTTAAATATCGTTTTGAATCAGCTATCGGCTTTTTGCTAATATTTCAATTGTAATGTTACTAAAACAAGCATTGGATTACTACCGAAACAATTAGATGTGGTTTCACTCAAACAAATAAATGTAATATTGAACAAATAATTTAGTTTAAAGTCATTAGAACAATTACCTGTTACCTAACAAACTAATTTACTGAAACAATAACTAAAATGTTAATTAACAAATGAGGTGCCACACTGTTGAAACAGTTATGCCTAATCTTAGAATGTTATTTGTAATTTTACTGAAAAAACAAGCGGATTTCTAATGACTTGAACGAAAAAACCTGAATCGGTCCAAATACAAAGACAACAAGCTTGTTTCGATGTTTTCTACGAATAAAAAAACTCACACCGTTCACTACGTCTGAGGCATATTACAGTTCACAATCATATATAACTACTTTATTTAGGAGGATCTTATTTAGTGTCCTTTGGTTGTATGAGAGGTCTCCAAAGGTCGTCGAAGGATTTACCAGCTTCGGCTTGTTTTGGTTGGCACCGCACCATGAGCAGATACTTGGGGGACTCCGGGCAGAAGGGCAGGGACATCAGCATCAGCACCGATGGGATCACCGCAAGTGCTGCGGATAGACACAGAAATTATATTTATTTTTCTACTTGCGATTTAGGTTTTATATGTTTTGAAGTTTACTGGGCCGTCAGTCATACGAACAGTCTAGCAACCTCTCTCTTTTAACAGATCGGGCTTAATTTTTGTGCACATTCGCTTCCATTTGGAAAATTGTTTATTGCACATCTGTCGCTTTCTCGTCAATCGTACCCTTACGACTTCATATCACGAGGTGAATTGTTTTAAAACCTACCCGGGTCCCTATTTTTCCGTCATAGCCAAAAATACACAACAGTTCGATTACTTGGAACTAGGAAACGGCAATTGATCGATTAACCCACCAACTAATATATTAATGCTTTGAACGCGATTAAATTTTTTAACCGGTTAATTGGTAAAATTTTGACGAACCAAAAGAAAAAATTAAACGCTTTCACCACGCGGACGAAGACGAGTACACCCGTATGAAGGGAAAATTTAGATCACATTTCGCAATAAAGGGAATTGTAGGGGCGACATTTGTAACCCCAGACAAGTGCAGAATGTTACACGGGTCCCGGCCAATTCAACGTCGTTCGAGTGTCTGTTTAGCGGAGCGGAGACTATTGCGAACAATCAGAGAAGCTGGCTCTTGCCGGAAAATATCAATGAACCTCTTTTTCTTCATGCAGTTGAGGTAATAATTTGTGAGTGTGAGTGTCTTTGAACTGTTCTTAAATAGGCATCGAGATTGATTCATAATCCAAGATGTATATTTCGCCGTTTATCACAAAATCAACACAGGGAAAAAATTTTAATATTATGCATAGAAATAAACGAGACGGATTAATCGAATTCTTAGCCGATCAAATGTTGGTGATAACTCGGGTTCAAACTTTGAATCAACCCCCAGCACTACTTGGAACGCGGGAAGTCTCCACCGCTTTGCAGCATATTTTCAATAGTCCTCGTGAAAGCAATTTCTAAGCTGTCCAACAACCCACATCTGCTTCATTTCCCTTATGAGTATAAGGTCCTCCTTCTGAAACCTGCACAGATTTTTTGCCAATTTATAACTGTTCTTTCCCCTGTTCATAAAAAAAAAATTGTTTAACCTCGCTGCCTGCTGTGTTGCACTGGCGTCAAAAACAAGATGGTGACAATGTAAACCTCTTCTCGAGCAAAAAAGAAAAAAGTATATATAATAACAAAAAATATATATATAAAGAAAGTTTTCTTATTGATTTCCATTAAAAACCATATTAAAGAGATGCATTACGAAAAAACTCGTGAACAGATCGTTGGAAACCTTTCTTAGACTTGAGCGTGATCAACCTAAAACAAAAGGACGTGCTTATACGAACTAATAATACTGATACGGGGCCTCGAACGCGTCCTTAACTCGGCTGTTCGAGTCGCCCACGCATCGAAACTGATCCCCAAGTAGCAACAGATTACGTCATAGAATCCGGCGTGTCATGCTAGAGAGCCAATATTACAAAACGTTTTGCAATTGCTCCATCAGGGTCACGTGGTCCGCGTACGAACAGTACGAGCTTTGGGGGAGGTTGCAAACATCGCTGATCGCGCTCATGTCTCCTCCTTCCTCTCAGTTTTTTCGTCGCATAGGTGGGAATTGTAGCAGTGACGTAGTGAGGAATTGATCTTTATAGTAACTAATGTGTTGTTGTTTTTTTGTTTTTTTTATAGAAATTTTAGCGCACAATCCAGAACCGCGGTTACAGGCATCGCGGTAACCAACACGGTGGTTACAGGCACAAAAAAGAAAAAGCGAAATAGCATTGTACACGTTTACGTACAATGCTATTTCGCTTTTTCTTTTTTCTTTTTTTCTTTTTCTTTTTTTCTTTTTCTTCATAATAAGTGAAAAATAGAGGGTGACATAAACATTAGTGAGATACACTGCAAAATATTTTGGCGCCTGCGCGAAGCACGCTGAAATATTCATACAAGTCGTAATCTTGTAGTTTATTTTGCCTCGTGATTTTACCGTAGGTAATGACCTCGATACTCTTGAATATTTGTAATCAGCTACACACATAACCAAGTGAGGCAGGCAGTCAGGTTGGGGGTGCTTCAATCGACGATAGAGCCGCAGTTGGCACCAGTCAAGAAAAGAAAAAAGACTTGATGTAGCGTAACTTCTTCCTGAAACTAAATGTGCAAAACGAGGCTAACCCTAGGAGTTAACGAAATGACAATAAACTTCAAATATAATTTGCGAAGTGTTCTTTTATTATGTGTTGAATATTCTATCAGTAAACGAAATATAACCTTTCAAATATATTTTTAACTGTTCTATAGAAGCCCAAACTTAGTATACTTTTATTCTATTGCTAACCTAACCACCGTTCGGCGGTCAAAAGTGCAACGATCCCGCTCTCATTCAAACCTCTCCGCAACATAATCTATTTTCTTATTTCTTTCTCTCTCTTTCTCTCGGTTTCTGTCTTGCGTGTCTGTCTGTTTCAATGGTGCAGGTAGAGAGACAAATTTTATTTTTATTCATTTTAGCTTTCACTTTGAAAATGTAGAAATGTCTCTGTAACTGTCTCTTTTTCTTGGGGTTTTTTCCCAAGGACGAATTATGCCCGAAATTTGACTATTTGAAATTGTCAGCTTATATGTACCACTCAAAATATTTAATTTGTAATTTGCAAGTGAAAGCTAAACTTCTGTCAATGCTACACACTGCAGAGTAAAACGGTCGATGATGGAACCTTTGCCTTAAACAAAAAGACCTACTGTAAAGAGGTTATAACGTTGATAAAATCGTGTGGTTAATTTGGGAAAATGAGGCAAAAATACACCGAAGGGGAAGACCCAGCAATGAGTCAGTGGTGCAAGGCATCCATCCAGCTGAAGAGAGCAAGAGGCCCTACAGAATCGTGTCCAACTCGGAATGTCAGGACAGATCAGGTATTATTTTTGAGGGATCGAGGAATGTTACAATTCGCACTATTTCTCATTCCTATGTTCAGGTTGATCAGAAAGTGCTTTAGAGTCAGAAGCGACAGCGTTGCAAGTTTCCTGGATGCAACGGCATTTGCATTTTCTATTGTTCTAAGTGCGATATTCATCTTGGTACAACGAACAGGAGCAACCGCTTTCTCTTGTGCAATAACAAGTGAACACGGAACCTTCATAGACCCTTGTAAATAACAATTGTAATCTGGTTGACACATTTCTAGTATTTAACTATAAATGCTGCATTATTTCAATCTTGTCGCAAATATGCAACACACCTATATTTTCCTGATTTAACTTTTTATCAAAGATTGAAACTAATTTTCTCTGCCAGTACGAGGATATCCACCTTTGTCTAGAGCTGGAATAAAATTATTTCAAAATTAAAGGTTGTGCAGTAAAGAGTAAATTTTATTTAGCAAGAACAAGAATAGCTTAAAATAGACGCTTCATAAATAGTGTCTATAACCACTGAATGTAAACTACTTATTTTGAGCTATAGACGAGTGCAGTGATTCACCATACTCCAAAATCAACCAACTTAATTTGACCGCACCCTCGAAGGTCCGACATTCTAGGGCTGCTTCAGAAGGTCGACGTCCAAAAGTAAACTGAAACCTCGGAAGCGCATTTTAGAGAATCTTTCTCGAATCAGCAAATATATCTAAACATAGACGTTCGTTCATATACGCAGTTTTCGTTTTTGGAAAGAATTGAAAAAATGTGCGCTTTCTGTAAATAACATTTAATGATTATTCTTAGCATATTTGAGTAAACTCATATATTTGATGTCACTCCGTGGCGGTAGTGCTTTTCCGGCGTTTAACGAGCAAACAGCGCGCATTCGGCCCGTGCTTTTTTCTTATTTAGTTCTCTGAACATGAATTGTCCAAGATATCAAGTCACCGCACCATAGTCTACCAACAATGCGTCGGCATATATGATTGAAACCTGTACCCTTACCTTCACTAATTAGGAAGTTAATTATACAAAACGATAAACCGCTTTTTAATCTTTTTTATCTTCTTGACAGTCAGCAATACGACATCAATCCTATCAAGCGCCTAGTTTACGGGGGCAAATTTTGTCCTGCATTTTGTGGAATCCCTGTATATTCTGAATGAAATGTCAAACGCAGCTGCCTGGCAAACGTACAACCGAATAAATCAGCAGTTTACCGTCAAATTCACAGCTGCAATTCATTGTTTTACATACGTTTCGTTTGCATTAAAGTATCCTCGTTAAGGTACAACAAGCTGTCCATCCCAACAAGCGCTCTACTGTGTATTATTGCCCTGGCACTTTGCTCCCACCTTCTCTTCCAGATATAAAAGTTGCTAGGAGCTTTTAGCTGTAATCTGGGTCTAAAACCCTTCTCAGGTCTTGTTGACACTCCAAACAGCAGACTGGCTCTATCTCCTTTTTCACGCGCATCAGCCTCTTGAGGTTCTGCGTGTCTAAATGACGCTCTCGGTGACCTCAGCACAGAGAGACTATAATAATAATAATAATAATAATGACTTTATTTTCAGTGCCCAAAAACAACCACAGCGGTCTTCACTTTGGTGCACCTGTTCAATCCTAGAGACACGTTGGTATATTACCATCACCCAAAAACAAATAAACAAACAAAATGTTATCAGTAAATTACAAGGTTATTCAACTGATGGCGGTACAATGAAATGGATGTACAGAAATCGAGGTGCTTAGGAGCAATGCTGTTGTATAATGTCTGAATCCGAGAAAGCGGTGAAGTACAACAAGGTGAACGTACATCAAAGCATACAGGATGTCTAGTATGGCGTAAGTTAACATGAAAATTAACTTTGCTGAGCATTGATGGCGAATCAATTACACTATTCACAACCTTATGCAAAAATACAAAATCATGAATCGTTCGCCTTTCAGACAAGAGTGTAAGCGAAAATGACCTAAGTATGTATTCATAGTCATAATAACAGCGCCTTTCAAAGTACCTATCGTAAACAATACGAATCAATCTTTTTTGAACATTTTCGATGGTCAAGGCCTGTGCCCTAGATA